GGGGTTTCAAATAGAGTTAGAGCTAAAGAAGGAGTAGCAATAATGTTGAAGGATAAGCTATGGCAGGAAAAAGGGACTATAAATGTATTAATTCAAGGATTATGTGGAGTAAAATAAAGATTGGATGTGAAAAGTGGGTTATAATAAGCGTGTATGCACCTGGAGAAGAGAGAAGTGTAGAGGAGAGAGAGAGTTTGGGAAATGTTGAGTGAATGCGTGGGGAGTTTTGAATCAAGTGTGAGAGTAATGGTGGTTGGGGATTTTAATGCTAAAGTGGGTAAAAATGTTATGGAGGGAGTAGTAGGTAAATTTGGGGTGCCAGGGGTAAATGTAAATGGGGAGCCTTTAATTGAGCTATGTGTAGAAAGAAATTTGGTAATAAGTAATACATATTTTATGAAAAAGAGGATAAATAAATATCAAGGTATGATGTAGCACGTAATGAAAGTAGTTTATTAGATTATGTATTGGTGGATAAAAGGTTGATGGGTAGGCTCCAGGATGTACATGTTTATAGAGGGGCAACTGATATATCGGATCATTATTTAGTTTTTAGCTACAGTTAGAGTAAGAGGTAGATGGGAAAAGAGGAAGGTGGCAACAACAAGTAAGAGGGAGGTGAAAGTGTATAAACTAAGGGAGGAGGAAGTTCGGGTGAGATATAAGCGACTATTGGCAGAAAGGTGGGGTAGTGCAAAGATGAGTAGTGGGGGGGTTGAAGAGGGTTGGAATAGTTTTAAAAATGCAGTATTAGAATGTGGGGCAGAAGTTTGTGGTTATAGGAGGGTGGGGGCAGGAGGAAAGAGGAGTGATTGGTGGAATGATGAAGTAAAGGGGTGATAAAAGAGAAAAAGGTAGCTTATGAGAGGTTTTTACAAAGCAGAAGTGTTATAAGAAGAGCAGAGTATATGGAGAGTAAAAGAAAGGTAAAAGAGAGTGGTGAGAGAGTGCAAAAGGAGAGCAGATGATAGAGTGGGAGAGGCACTGTCAAGAAATTTTAATGAAAATAAGAAAAAATTTTGGAGTGAGTTAAACAAGTTAAGAAAGCCTAGGGAAATTATGGATTTGTCAGTTAAAAACAGAGTAGGGGAGTTAGTAGATGGGAGATGGAGGTATTGGGAAGATGGCGAGAATATTTTGAGGAACTTTTAAATGTTAAGGAAGAAACAGAGGCAGTCATTTCATGCACTGGTCAGGGAGGTATACCATCTTTTGGGGTGAAGAAGAGCAGAATGTAAGTGTGGGGAGGTACGTGAGGCATTACGTAAAATGAAAGGGGGTAAAGCAGCTGGAACTGATGGGATCATGACAGAAATGTTAAAAGCAGGGGGGGATATAGTGTTGGAGTGGTTGGTACTTTTGTTTAATAAATGTATGAAAGAGGGGAAGGTACCTAGGATTGGCAGAGAGCATGTATAGTCCCTTTATATAAAGGGAAAGGGACAAAAGAGACTGTAAAAATTATAGAGGAATAAGCTTACTGAGTATACCAGGAAAAGTGTACGGTAGGGTTATAATTGAAAGAATTAGAGGTAAGACAGAATGTAGGATTGCGGATGAGCAAGGAGGTTTTAGAGTGGGTAGGGGATGTGTAGATCAGGTGTTTACATTGAAGCATATATGTGAACAGTATTTAGATAAAGATAGGGAAGTTTTTTATTGCATTTATGGATTTAGAAAAGGCATATGATAGAGTGGATAGAGGAGCAATGTGGCAGATGTTGCAAGTATATGGAATAGGTGGTAAGTTATTAAATGCTGTAAAGAGTTTTTATGAGGATAGTGAGGCTCAGGTTAGGGTGTGTAGAAGAGAGGGAGACTACTTCCCGGTAAAAGTAGGTCTTAGACAGGGATGTGTAATGTCACCATGGTTGTTTAATATATTTATAGATGGGGTTGTAAAGGAAGTAAATGTAGGGTGTTGGGAGAGGGGTGGGATTAAATTATGGGGAATCAAATTCAAAATGGGAATTGACACAGTTACTTTTTGCTGATGATACTGTGCTTATGGGAGATTCTAAAGAAAAATTGCAAAGGTTAGTGGATGAGTTTGGGAATGTGTGTAAAGGTAGAAAGTTGAAAGTGAACATAGAAAAGAGTAAGGTGATGAGGGTGTCAAATGATTTAGATAAAGAAAAATTGGATATCAAATTGGGAGGAGGAGTATGGAAGAAGTGAATGTTTTCAGATACTTGGGAGTTGACGTGTCGGCGGATGGATTTATGAAGGATGAGGTTAATCATAGAATTGATGAGGGAAAAAAGGTGAGTGGTGCTTGAGGTATATGTGGAGTCAAAAAACGTTATCTATGGAGGCAAGAAGGGAATGTATGAAAGTATAGTAGTACCAACACTCTTAATTGGTGTGAACTTGGGTGTAAATGCATCGCGGAGGAGAACGGTTGAGGCCGAGATTTCCTGTTTAATGCAATGTGGGGTAATATTATCAGAAAATTCGATTGTGGAAATAGGAGAGGTTGCGAGTAATAAAAGTAATTATCAGAGGGCTACTGAAGAGGGTTGTGAGGTGGTTTGTCATTTAGAGAGAATTGGATCACATAGTGACATGGAAACAATAAATCTATAGGGCAAGGAGCGGGTAGGGGTCCGTCCTGAATAGGTTGGAAGAGAGGGGTAAAGGGGTTTGAGGTGTAAGGGCTTTGGAACTTCCAGAGCGTGCGTGAGCGTGTTAGATAGGAGTGATGAGACGAATTTAACCCGTACTTGGACCTTACGTCTGTGGAGTGTGAGCAGGTAATATTTATGAAGGATTCAGGAAACCGGTTATTTTCATATATGGACTTGAAGTCTGAAAGGAAGTACAATGCCTGCACTTAAAATGGTTGGATATTGGCATTTGAGGGATATGTTGTGTATCTTTATATTTATATGCTCTAACTCTTTGTTTCTGGCACCCCTGCAAAAACAGTGCATAATGTGCAGTTGTGTAAAGTGTTGAATGATATGAAGTATTTCTTTTTGTGGATTTTCTTTCTTTTTTGGGTCATCCAGGCCCCTGTGAGGACGGCCGACTGTTGAAAAAACAAAAAAAAAAAAAAAATAATTACAAGATCTAAGGAATTGATGTCCTTCCCTTCCTTTGATCAAACCTAATTGCCTCTTATTTCCCCAGGTACTTTATGAATATCAAAATAAATTTTCCTATCATAATCCATCATTTCTCATCACATTCCATCAGGATAATTTTTCCTGCCATATTTCATTACACAGGATGTTTTCCTGTCACTCATCACACATGATTATTTTCCTGCATTCCCATCACATAAAATAGTTTACCAGCTATATTCCATAGTACTGCATGGCTTTTCATGTCATCCATCATCACATAGGATAGTTTTCCTGCTTTATTTCATCATAGGATGATTTCTGCATAACATAGGATAATTTTTTAATCATACAGGCACCTAAAGTCAGTACCTGACCAACCAGGCTGTGGTTTGTACGTCAGCTTGCATGTGGCCAGCAGTAACAGCCTGGTTGATCAGACCCTGATCCACCATGAGGCCTGGTCTCAGACCGGGCCACAGGGGCGTTGACCCCCGAAACCCTCTCCAGGTAAACTCCAGGTAATACTCCATCACAAAATGGTTTTCCTGTCATACTCCATTATATGGGATGCTTTTCTTATACTCCATCACACAGTAAGTTTATTCAGGTACAAGTTTACCTGGAGTTTACCTGGAGAGAGTTCCGGGGGTCAACGCCCCCGCGGCCCGGTCTGAGACCAGTTACATAAATTATCATACATAGCAGCACATGTGTAAATTACCTAGGATAACCCAAAAAAGTCAAAAGTGACTAATTTCCATACTCCATCCCCTCAGGGAAGGCACCTTGATGCTGGTGAGGGGCTCTTGATCTAGGTAATTGGATCTGTGTTCCAGTTCCCTAAACTGAGCCTGAATACCTGCCACTCCTTACCCCCCCCCCCTCGCACTGTATAATCCTTATGGGTTTAGTGCTCCCCCATTTATTTATTTATTTATTTAGTAATTTAAGCATACAGATGTACAAAAAATACAGGTAAGAGCAGCATGCCAAAGCCACTTATGATTATTATAATCCATACTCCATCACATAGAATGGTTTTCTTGTAATACTCCGTTACACAGGATGTTTTTTTTCCTGTCATAATTAACGCAGTGAGACTTTCCTATAGGTAAGGAAGTTTGTTAACCTGGAAAAGGAGTCATAAACCTTATGGCCTTTTAAATTTTCCGCGTAAATCAAGTTGTTTACATCTGTTGTAATTGCCTAGTAAATTATGTTTAAGCCTTAGAATTGACATTTTCTTGTTTGGCGTTTTAATATGACCCTTAGACTTTGTTTGGATGCAACAAGAAGGTATTATAAAGGAAATCAAGCAATCCTTATATTTTTGGATATAAAAAAGGTAAAAAGGTAACGAATAGTATATAATCCAGCAACAACGGCGGCCATCTTGGCATCGCCCGCGTGCCTCCCACAATGATAGTATTGCCACGAATCTATCATTTTAAAATATTCCTAAACTATGTATATCCAATTTGTCAGACTTCAACAACTTTACACATTGGTCACATAATTGTTTCACAGCTTTATGTACAATAAAGGGCCGGAAGGGATTGGAATGGTGAAATATAAATACTACTGATTATTTAAAACATTATTTCACACAACTTGTGTGACAGATGTTCATGCATTATTTAGAATAATTTTTAGGTTCTAAGTTAATGTTGTATTATGAATGAAATAATACTACGAGTTTGTAAGTCTATGAACAATAAATGTAAGTATCCCAGACTGGCGGTATGTAGAAGCTATGTATATTGCCAGAGACCGGAACTGAAAATAGAAATTATCTGTGAAATCAAAAATACTTTTGGTAAGCGAACATAGGTATATGAAATAAAATATAATAAAGCTTCTTACTACAGTATATGATAATAAAGGAAGTACATAGAATGGTAAATAAAAATACGCCTGTTGATGCTCTCTTCACAACACTACATTCCAGTGTTGCCGCTGAGATACAAGGACCTGGGTTTTCCAAGGTTAGATCTTAACTTACTTAACTTGCACATTCATTTGAATTATAAAGACGATGGCAGTAGACCAACTCTGAGCGTAGCTAGACATGTATTGAGCTGGTGGAACACTGGGGGGTAAAACTGTTGAGTGAGGAGGAGGGTGGAAACAGGCGGAGGTGGCCTTTACACAACATGGGTGCACGTTGTGGGATGCCACCACCACGACACCTCATGTATGGGGGGTAGTTAGTGCTCTCCTCCCCCCTGCACACCTCTGGTATGGTGGTGCCACTGGTGCCGTGGGAAGCACTGGTGCCGGGCCCTGTCACTAGTATTTCCCTTTATGATATTTTAGGCTTCACTAGTAGAAGGTGGAGGAGGGAGCCATATTGTCCCTGGTTCTGCCTTATCTATCCGGGACAAATAAAGTAATAAGGGTAATGCATCCTGTATTACATAATTGCTTCCTCCAGCTAGGCCTATAAGGGACATATTTACAACCTGGAGTAGGCCTAGCTCGACTTATTGTAAACAACTACTTGTAACTTGAACTCATCGAGTGAGTAGTAAGATGATGCCTATTCTCTACAAGTAATCTTTCATATTTACACTACGCTAGAAAAATGGTGTATAATAAAAATTATTGGGACCTCGATGGAAATTTGCCATTAATTTTGTTGTGCTACCTGGAGTTTACCTAGGTTTAATTTATATAATGCTTGCTTCTCAGGGGGAGAGCTTTTGATCCAAGGAATTGGGTCGAAGCTGATTGCCTCGGTTTTTCCCAGGTGGCAGTTTGGGCCTTAACCGGGAAAGGGTTTAACTCAGGCCAAAATTAAAATCAGTGTTATTGGGGGACTTATTTCCATTGGGGTCCTTTAATACTTTCCACCAGGATGGAACCTGTAACAATCGACAAGCCCCCTGGTATCTCCTCATTGCTTGGTGAATGAGTTAGCTTGTGTAAGGAAACATGCCAAATGTTTCTCCTGTGCCGGGAGCAATACCTGGTCCCTCAGCATGTGAGAAACCTACCCTTATGGGTTAATTGCTTTCCCTAAATATTTTACGTAATGCACTATTTGAGAGCCCATATATGCCATGAAGACTATTGTCCCCTAAAATAATGCGTGCCTTGATGCTGTTGGTGGTTTTTGATCCAAGGAGGTGGAATTGTCTTCCTTGGATCAAATCTAATTGCCTCTTATTCTCCATGCACTGTATGACCCTTTCTGATTTAGTGCTTCATCCTGATTATTTTATAGTCATGAAGACTATTGTGAAGTTTTGATAGCTGAACAAGTTACAGAAGTAATGAACTCCAGGTAGATTGGTCACAATCACGACCAAGTTACAAAGTAGTCCCGAACCCTTCTAGTATGAAAGGGCCAATTTGAAAAGCCAAATTTAAAGGAGGGCCACAGTTGCTAGTTATATCCACATAAATCATGCTCCCCCACAAGTGACAGGTAGTTTTTTAGAGGTGGTAATAAGGTTTTGGTGTAAAATGGCTTCAAATATTTTGTAATTATTTTTACTGTGCATGGAATGTACATAAAAGTGAATTCTAAATTTTATGTGAGGTTGGGAACCCGTATTAGATGATTATTGTCACTCGATTACACCACCCCTATCTGGTGCACTTGCACATATTTTAATAGATAAAAATTTAGATTTAATTCTACTATGCCACACCTTTCATGTAAATGCTTATCCATACATGTAAATTTAAAATTTTTAGTTTATTCTTTGTACTGGCTGAATACTTGATTCATTGCTCATTTGTCACTTTTATCTTTACCAAGTTTTTTATAAATTTGGTTAGAGCACTTGGCTTACTTCTGAGGGAGGAGGGGGTTGAATGAATGACATGTGCTACTAGACAGAAAGCTACTTGTTATGCAGGGAATTTTTTGGCAAATTTGGTTATTTTTTTTTGTCCCAGGATGCAACCCACATCAGTCAACTAACACCCACAAACCCATTTCTACTGATGGGTGAACATGGACAACCAGTGTAAGGAAACACGCCCAATGTTTCCATCCTTGCTGAGAATTGAACCTGGACACTCAGTATGTGAAGCAAGAGCTTTTGCCACCATGCCATGGGCCACTGTATTAATAAACCTATTTCATTTATACTAATGTTTAACTTAAGTTTCCAGTAGACCATGATGGGTCAGAGGTATATTGTTGCATTGTTATGTGACCTCTGTTGGTCTGGCAACATTGATATTCTGGAAAGTCCTAGGAACCAAAGGTGCTGGACAATAGTAAGTAGGTCTAATTAAGTACAGGTATGCATGAGTACAGTTACACAAATTTTGGTGATTGCAGTTATTATACATAGTGTTGTATCTGATTTTATGGTGTGTTTTGCATTAATAATTCAAACTTATAAAGCAGAAAGTAACAAAAAGTTAATGAATAGGTGCAAGAATTTAATATACTTATATACTGGAAAATACATCTAAAAAGATATATATTGGTCTTATTGAGGTATAAATATTCAAGATGTGAGCCAAGTTGTTGTACTGTAATGTGCATTAATAAGTGGCCTAAAGTATTATGTATCATTGGCTTATCCTGGAAGCTTGCTAAAAATAATCCATTTGCAACAATACAAAAGTAAGTGCCAGTATACCTTTATAAATGGTCTTATCATAATACAGTGTGTATTTTAAGAATAAGTACAAATACTGAAGTCATTAATTCATCTGCCTAGAAATCACTTATATTTTTTTTTTTCCAACAAGTTGGCCGTCTCCCACCGAGGGAGGGTGAAACCAAAAAAAGAAAGAAAATCCCCCCAAAAAGAAAATATTTTCATCATCATTCAACACTTTCACCACACTCACACATTATCACTGTTTTTGCAGAGGTGCTCAGAATACAACAGTTTAGACGCATACACATATAAAGATACACAACATATCCCTCCAAACTGCCAATATCCCAAACCCCTCCTTTAAAGTGCAGGGTTGTACTTCCCTTTTCCCCAGGACTCAAGTCCGCTAAGAAAATAACCGGTTTCCCTGAATCCCTTCACTAAAATTACCCTGCTCACACTCCAACAAAATCGTCGGTCCCAAGGGCCATTCATCCCCTTTCCTCCTATCAAACACGCCCGCCGCTTGCGGGAAGCCCAACCCCCCTCCCCACAAAACCCCCTTTTTACCCCCTCCCCCCAACCCTTTTTCGAGGAGACCCCCCCCTTTCTTCCCCTATAATTTAATGTTTTCCCCGGTCATTCTATTTTGATCCATTCTTCTAGTCCCAACCCACCTCAACAACCCCTCTTCTGCCCTCGACTAATACTTTATTAACTCCAACCTTTTCCATTCCAAAACCAAATTTTTCTGCATAATATTTACACACACACTTTGCCCTTAAACGGGACATCTCCACTGCCTCCAACCGTCTCCTCACTGCTTTCATTTACCACCCAACTTCACAACCCCTATAAGAGTGTTGATACTACTATACTTCAACATTCCCTTCTTTGCCTCCATAGATAACATTTTTTGACTCCACATATACCTCAACGCACCACTCACCTTTTTTCCCTCATCAATTCTATGATTAACCTCATCCTTCATAAATCCATCTGCCGACACATCAACTCCAAGTATCTGAAAACATCACTTCTCCATAATCCTCCTCCCCAATTTGATATCCAATTTTTCTTTATCTAAATCATTTGATACCCTCATCACCTTACCTTTTCTATGTTCACTTCAACTTTCTACCTTTACACACACTCCCAAACTCATCCCCCTAACCTTTGCAATTTTTCTTTAGAATCTCCCATAAGCACAGTAAACATCAGCAAACAGTAACTGTGTCAATTCCCATTTTGAATTGATTCCCCAAAATTTAATCCCACCCTCTCCCAAACACCCTAGCATTTACTTCCTTTACAACCCATTTAAATTATTAAAACCATGTGACATTACCATCCCGTCAAGACACTTTTACCCAAGTAGTCTCCCCTCTCTTCAAACCCCCTAACCTGACTCACTGTCCTCAAAAAACTCTTTACAGTATTTTAAAACTTACCCCCTTTCCAATATTGCAACATCTGCCATTGCTCCCTATCCATCTAATATGCCTTTTCTAAATCCATAAATGCAAAAAAAAAAATCCCTACCTTTATCTAAATACTGTTCACATATATCCCCAATTTTAAACCCTTTGATCTACACACCCCCCTACCCACTCTGAAACCCTCCTTGCTCACCGAAATCCACATTTGTCATCCCTCTAATTCTTTCAATTACATAAACCCTACCGTACACTTTTCCTGGGATACCCGTAAACTTATTTTCCCTATAAATTTTTTCAGTCTTCCTTTTCCCCTTTTCCCCTTTTTTAAAAAAGGGCTAAACATGCTCTTGCCAATCCTAGGGACCTTCCCTCTTTCATCCCTTATTAAAACCCCTTTGAGGGGCGACGCCCCCCTCCGAAACTTGTTTTCAGGGGCGGCCCAAAATTTAAAAAAAAAATATTTTTTCTTATGAAAAAAAGAGAATCTTTTCCCGATCATAAAGACACCAAAAATTTAAAATTGTAGAAAACTTACGGGAAATTTTGCTCTCGCAAAGTTAGCGGGCTCGGAAAGTTTTCCATCGGGAATTTTGCCCCCTTTGAGCCCCTTTTCGGCCAATTTCACTTACTATCACTAAAACGAAAATTTTGCTAGAACCCATTTTTTCTATCGAAGGGTGCAAGAAACCACCCATTAGAAATTAATTCCATCCCGTGGTCAGAATTTAGCAATTTTGCCAAATTTCAACAAAATTCAAAAGTGCCAATTTCCGAATAGGTCCGAAAAAACAAGAAAGACATTTTTGGGACAAAAAAGACATTTCCTCAAATCATTAGTCCCCTCTCAAGGGCCCCCCTTATATTCTTTTGCTTTCCCTTTGAATTTTTTATTCTCACAAAAAAATATAAGATTTATTGTTATGCAGACTACTGCATTAGTGTAAAAAAGGGTTTATAAATATTATTGGTGCACTTGTAAAAGAATTTTAGACTAAACCAGTTGACGTGTATTGCACGCTTGGCACGATTTGTTTACTTTTGAAGTTTGGTAAAAATCGAACATTCTGCTACTTTGAGCTCAATTTCAAGGCACCTTTCATTGTAAAACCAGTCAAAATCATCTCAATTTCTGTAATATGTCTTCCATTCTATAAAATGAGACCAAGAAAACTAGAATACAACAATAAATACCATACGAAAATACACTGCAAAGTCGCTGATTTATTCCAAAAAAATGGTCAAAGTTTTTTTTTTCTCATTATGCACTGTGTGCTGCAGGATTTTTTTTAGACTGTGCACACTGACCACATAGACCCATTCTTTCATATGAAGGCCTACCAGCTTTCTCCCACTTGATTGAGGCCGCTAGAATTTATGCGTACTAGTACGTCAAAAACCCCTACGCGTAAGACGTACTAGTACGACCAAAACCCTCAAAGGGTTAAACAAAAGTACCAACCACGCCAACACTGTATCCCCCCCTGCTTTTAACATTTCTGTCATGATCCCATCAGTTCCAGCTGCTTTACCCCCTTTCATTCTACGTAATGCCTCACGTACCTCCCCACACTTACATTCTGCTCTTCTTCACTCCTAAAAGATGGTATACCTCCCTGACCAGTGCATGAAATTACTGCCTCTCTTTCTTCCTTAACATTTAAAAGTTCCTCAAAATATTCTCGCCATCTACCTAATACCTCCATCTCCCCATCTACTAACTCCCCTACTCTGTTTTTAACTGACAAATCCATACTTTCCCTAGGCTTTCTTAACTTGTTTAACTCGCTCCAAAATTTTTTCTTATTTTCATTAAAATTTCTTGACAGTGCCTCTCCCACTCTATCATCTGCTCTCCTTTTGCACTCTCTTTACCTTTCTTTTACTCTCCATATACTCTGCTCTTCTTATAACACTTCTGCTTTGTAAAAGCCTCTCATAAGCTACCTTTTTTTCTTATATCACACCCTTTACTTCATCATTCCACCAATCACTCGTCTTTCCTCCTGCCCCCACCCTCCTAAACCACAAACTTCTGCCCCACATTCTAATACTGCATTTTTAAAACTATTCCAACCCTCTTCAACCCCCCCACTAATCTTTGCACTAGCCCACCTTTCTGCCAATAGTCGCTTATATCTCACCCGAACTTCCTCCTCCCTTAGTTTATACACTTTCACCTCCCTCTTACTTGTTATTGCCACCTTCCTCTTTTCCCATCTACCTCTTACTCTAACTGTAGCTACAACTAAATAATGATCCGATATATCATTTGCCCCTCTATAAACATGTACATCCTGGTGCCTACCCATCAACCTTTTATCCACCAATACATAATCTAACAAACTATTTTCATTATGTGCTACATCATACCTTGTATATTTATTTATCCTCTTTTTCATAAAATATGTATTACTTATTACCAAATCTCTTTTTACACATAGCTCAATTAAAGGCTCCCCATTTACATTTACCCCTGTCCACCTCAAATTTACCTCCTACTCCCTCCATAACATTTTTACTCACTTTAGCATTGAAATCCCCAACCATCATTACTCTCACACTTGATTCAAAACTCCCCACGCATTCACTCAACATTTCCCAAAATCTCTCTCTCTACCTCTATCACTTCTCTCTTCTCCAGGTGCATACACTGCTATTATAACCCATTTTTCACATCCAATCTTTATTTTACCCACATAATCCTTGAATTAATACATTATAGTCCCCCTCTTTTCCTGCCATAGCTTATCCTTCAGCATTATTGCTACTCCTTCTTTAGCTGTAACTCTATTTAAACCCCTGACCTAATCCCATTTATTCCTCTCCATTGAAAACTCTCTCACCCCTTCAGCTTTGTTTCACTTAAAGCCAGACATCCAGCTTCTTCTCATTCATAACATCCACAATCATCTCTTTCTTATCATTTGCACAACATCCACGCACATTCAGACTTCCCACTTTGACAATTTTCTTCTTCTTATTCTTTTTAGTAATCTTTACAGGAAAAGGGGTTACTAGCCCATTGT